CTGTAACCCCCTGCTTACTAGTGGTCCTCTCGCTTTACTTATGATGAAATGGTTAAAAAAAGTATTGCTAAGTCTCATATTCATAATAACAAGTGCCGATAATAGATATCAAATTTCAAAACATAACATTTTAGTAATTAAAAGCTGTAAGAATTTTCCTTTTTGTAAAAAGCAAATTCGACAACAATCAAAGAAATCGGAATATAGAAGACCTTTAAGCTATGGGAGACTTGCGGATTATGTCTATGTTGTAAATTATTTATTAAATTCTATATTCAGTTTATTTAAATATTTTACATTTTTGACACTCACCAAATATCTAATCTATTTAAACTGCAATCCCGTATTTATAATTTTACAAAACATATTTTAGAGAAAAACTACCTAGAAAGAAAAACTAGGTAATTATTGTCAACAAATGTTTATATTTCTTGTAATATAAATGTACTGAATATTTCTTTAATTCTTTATTTTATTTAAATTTAATTATTTAATATGTATATATTATATTTTACTTTGAATTTTATTCTAAACTGTTTTTGAACGCTAATAAAAAAAAATCAAATTTATCCTTTCTTAAACATGTGACGATGCTTAAAATTTTGAAAAACTACTTTTCAGTCTGCAGTTATTCAGTTAATCAAATTTTGTACTTTTTTTTATTTTATAACGAAAAATACTTGCAGAAATGAACTTTGGAAACAATATTAATAACAATGTTATTAAAATATTGAATATATCTGAATATAATATTTAATAGAAAATATGAAAAAAATAGTTAAATATTCTTCTCTTGCTGACAGATTTTTCTTTTTACTCCTGTGGCAGTGGAGGCTTCAGGGGTTATTGGCCCTCGTTCGATGGCGTTCCTTCGGAGGATTGGTGCGATTGCGTCTCGATTAAGGGACGAGCCTCGCGAAACGGAGTGGCTCTTGCAGAGATAGAAAAACTTCGTTGGAAACAAAGAGAAAATACTGAAATGTTATGTGATATTTGTCACTGAATGCTGTACAATTTATAAAAAATGAGACTCGAGACATCATGCTGGTTGCGCTTAAGTAAATGAATAGCGGAGCAGTTTATAGGAAAAAAATAATGCAAAAACAAAATTTATTAAAAGCTACAAAAGACAGGGAATTGTGGAAAGCCATGATCGCCTATGTCCTGAGGGGATACAGCATATAAAGATCAATATTTATGGGTTAAAATGTTCAGTAACAGGGATATAGCGTATGTAAATATAAAAGTGGACGTGTTCTCTCAGTCACTGTGTGTTTATCCAAAAATAGATACGCTTAAATTCAGATTCATTCCTGCCGTGCGCCAACAGCTTAGGGATAAAATCTCCGACTGACGCCAATTCAGGCGGGTTTCGATCCTAGCTAGAGGCAAGCGGACGTCTAGCCACACTGACGACCTGTGATACAGCGAAACAGTCTGTCTGTGGATGACTATATATATATATATATATATATATATATATATACAAGGTGCGATGTCTCATTTTATATTTTTAATTTCGCAGGCTGTTTGTTTTTTATTTTGTCGACTCACAGTATAGTAAGGTCAGTTGGGCACCGTTTATGAGAAAAAGAGCTCTCATGATGCATTAACTTTGCCATAAATTTGGAAACGGCATGTTCTATGCCTGGCATTCGAATCAGAACCTCCAATACGAACATTTCAGAGTGTTTGGTTGACGATCTGTGGGCAATGCAGAGGTTTCAAAAGAGTTGGATGATATATCCAGTCAACATTATGGTGTTTGCAGTGATCAATAGTGATGCCGATGCCTCCATTCATGTTCTTACAGGACCTCGGTCTCAACACGGATGCATACATCAAGTGCGTTGGGGAGATAGTGTTGCCCTCAAACAAGAAAATGGTCTCTGGAAGTCCCTATGTCTGAAAACATGACTGTACTATCCCAAACAAGCGGAAAACCCAGTCCTTTATGTCAGGCAATTTCTACGACCACCTCACTCTTTAAATCTGATCTACTAACACTTCTTGTAAAACAAAATCCAATTTCTTTTAGGGTTGTTCCATTATAATTTTGGCTCGTTGAAGATGCTTTAATTAGAAACTTGTCAGATAACACATTGTAAATTGATTGAAAGATCTTTTTGATTATTGTCGGTGGTTGGTTGGAAGATGTGTGTATGTAAACTGGTCTATTGATGGGTTTTCTATATCGTTGATACATACCTTTTCTTCGGTTGAGTGTGACATCAAGGAAATCTAAGTCTTTTAGATTTTTATGTTTATGTTGAATTGTCCCCAGGCTGAAATTAAGAATGTGGCTTTTGCTAATATGTGGAGCGCGCTGTTTATCCCTGATACTAAAGGGCACATTGAGGTGCCAAGTTTGTGTATCTCGTATATACTGTAAAGCAAGGTTATGGTTGGATAGTATTCTGTCAGTTTCACCCATGATTTTCTTTCGTTGGTAACTAACTTTTTGGTGGCATTATCGAATTTTTGTGTCTCCGTAATATCATGTTCCTGAATTTTCTCATAGGTATTTGGATATTTCCATTATAAGTGCTAATCAGAAAATACAAAAATATATTGCCCTCAGCCTATTCTGACAAAAATCGAAAAAAAAATTCTAAACTGTATTCATGACAAAGACAAAATGAAAGCTTTTCTTTAGTAACGCATTTCGTCCCCTGAGGAATTTCATCAAGGTAAATGTAAATATTTTATTACGTAACATGTATTTATGTATTTATATATATATACAAAATCTTCCTTTTGTTCACGCTCACACACACACACAAACACACACACGCATATATATATATATATATATATATATATATATATATATATATATTTTAAACAGAGTTTGATTAATAAGCACCGACAAGTTAATTTTTGAGTGTATGTTGCTAATTTCTGAATAAGGTGACGTTATGTGTAACAGTTGTGCGAGGCTGCACCAAAAAGGATGCGTATACATATATTATATAATTAAAAATAAACACAAACACTTAAAATACCATAGGTGATATTTATTTAATTAAAATCGATAAAATACGACTTCAAATCTTCAGACCTCTAATCCAGATGTAAATGGAAAAATCCACTCCAGGTTTAAAAATAAGAATAGTGATTTCATATCGAGAGAGCATATTCTGTATCCATGTATATATGTATATATTTGTGAATATATATATATATATATATTTGTGAATATATATATATATATATATATATATATATATATATATACACTGGGACAGGTTATTGTGTTACTTGATAGATTCATATATAACTATATAATTGGGTGAAGGTGTAGGTGGTTATAGATCTGTATATTGCGTATATATTGTATATATGAGTATGTGCAGATATAAATATACACATGTATAGTGCTTATATTTTGTATTGATATTCACCATGTGTATTATGTATTTATTATTTGTTTACTTTTTTAGAAATCTGATGTTTCCACTGTGACTGTCATTAATGTAATGTATATATTAAGAGTGGTTAAGTAAATGTTTGCCCAATTTGGGTACTTCATGTTAATTTATGTAAATAGTTTCTCGTATAGATATTGATACGGATACTTATACTTAGATATACTAGATAGTTAATTCGGATCCTATTAACTTTACTTAGTTTATAAAGTCTCTTCGCATCCCGTTATACTTTAATAAGTTTATTTAGATTATAAAATGTTAGGGAATATTGTTTATTTTATATACTTTATAATATAACAAGTCTGTTTTTTCGTTATATAAATAGATATTTTTTCTATATATCTTTTCTTTTGTATGTTTTTGAATGTTCTTAACCAACCACTATTTTTAATATAAATTATAACAGTTTTTTTTTCAATTGAATACATATGTGTGAATATATATGTCAGAATCTTGACCGAAGAAGGATCCAGAGAGAATTTCGAATTTACACTAAAAATCTTTTTCAACTCTGAGTTACCCTTTACTTTCCTTAAGTTTATGTATTCTCAACTGCCATGTAATGACTTATATTCTCAATCCGGATGTTAATTTAGGCCACCACGGGTCCTAATGTCAACGAAATCTTTTGATCCCACTGTCAATTCATTTATACACATCATTTCCTTTCCCCCTTCCTACACGATAATATAGTTGCATCTTTCTTTCCTCCACTCGCTCAATATGAAATCACTGTTCTTATTTTTAAACCTAGAGTAGATTTTTCCATTTATATGTGGTTTACAGGTCTGAAGATTTGAAGCCTGTTTTATCGATTTCGATGAAATAATTATCACCTATGCTATTGTAAGTGTTTAGAGCTTTCAACGGATTACCAATAATTTTATTATCATTAATAAATATGTGTGTGTGCGTGTCTATGTGTGTGTGGGGGGTGATTGTGTGTGCAAGCGGATATCAAATATATCATATACACTTCAAGATATCGTCTCCTGTGGTGAATTATATTTTATTTAATGCTGGGTGCTTATTTTTTATAATATAATTTTACGAACACAATGGCGTTATTTACTTACAAATTTGACGACGTAGCGATGGGTTCACCTTTCGAACCTATTCTATCTAATTTGTAAATGAGACATGTAGAAAACGAAGTCTTCTATAATTCCACAATGCCTCCGTTACACCAAGGATATTTTCATATTAGTAAAATGCAAAACGAAAAAAACATCTTAATGAAATATTTGAGAATAATAAACATTACATAGGAAGTCAATATTAATTTATAAAGAATCCACTTGCAAAATGTCGTATCTACTCAACTACAAAATATACAAAATAGCTGCAAAAAATCGTAATATATATATATATATATATATATATATATATATATATATATATATATATATATATATATATAGTATACGTGTGTGTTTGTGTATAATTCGTAAAAACACTAATAAACTGGTATAAAAATCCATATTATACTATTAACAAAGACTCTACACTTTTCTCAAAGTATTTTTCATTGACTTATTTGTAAATTTTAATTTCTTTCAGTTGAAAAGTTTATAAATTGCACCCTAAGTCCTCATTTACATTAGTTTCATTCACAGTGAATTTGACATCTTTGTTTGTCTTACAACAGATACGTTTTATGGCGCTGGAAAAGGAAGAACTGTAGCCCGGGCAGAAAGGAAGAAAGGTGAAACAATGGACCTTGTCTATTTGCCGTTGGATAAAAGCTGGTAAATTGTATAAATTCAATTCTTGACTCTCGTCTGAAGAAGTTTGTTCGCGCATTCTTTTCCAGTACAACATTCCTCGTTCTTCATCTGTACCTAATAATAATAATAATAAAAATAATAATAATAATAATAATAATAATAAATAGAAAGACGACGATAAAATAATTTGAACTGCACTGTGTCAGGGAAAGCTACAGAGAGAAATTGGTTCACTCTTAAAATCGGCTTAAAACATTGCCAGAAGAACCCGATATAAAAAGACTGATTGACGATAAAATACAAGAAATGAGCAAATATAGATTATGTTGATATAAATATAATGTAATCAATTAATAATAGAATGTCGGAATACATGTCTATTCTTGACTGGGTGGGAAAATGATCAATTGAGAACTGCTCAAGCAAGTGCATTTCGAACATGTAAAACAATGACATATTCACAGAGCAGAAACTCTCCTAGAGAATGAAAGACACAAAATTATCTGCGATTTTGTGATTTCTAACTGATCCCCCGATCGAGGCCAGAAAAATCAGATCTGGTAGCAGGAAATTAGAAGATAACTTACCAGATGGTGGGTATCTGGTATTTTTATACTAAAGTTCACCGAAGACAAGGTTTACTAGACCCTCATGGTAGAGGGTTACTGACTGAGGTGTGTGATATGAGCGTAAGTGAAGATGATGAAAAGGAAAATTGTTAGCAATTGACTTTTGACTTGAAGAGGTTAAGAATGTAGTGTTCATGGAAGCAACCACACGGTAGTTTGTTCCACATAATAGCAGTTCTCGGGAAAAAGTTGTTTGTGCGGAATTTCCTCCTTTCAAATGGAATATGGTGGAAATGTAAGTGATCTGATTCCGTGGAGGTGGCATAAATAATATTAGTTGTAAAATAGATCGATTTTGACACAATTCTAGGGATTGTGTAACATGCAGGTTCCGGTCTTTAACGGAGGACTGGAAACGTTACCGAAGAGCTTAGTAAAAAGGTTGGAGAAATTTGAGTCGCTGGAAGAATTGGGACGATCTAAATAACTCGAATAATGAGTAAAATGCTGAAAGTTTGAGATTAATTGTTACTAAATTTTCCTGGGTAAACGATCTGTTAAAATTGATGTGAACCCTCAATACACTGAAAAATAACACGTGTAGTATTCATGGTACATAGACATATGACTAATAACCACAATAAATGAATCGAAGTTTTTAAAGCATCAATAGTTATTAAAAATATAGCACATGATAAAATGTTTCCACTTATCTTGTATCTGAATTTCAAATAGTTCCGGGACGCCTTGCCAAGTTACTGAGTAAATAGAAAACTGGAGGAAGATCCTACTAATGAAAACTCTGTTAAATCATAAGATCAAACCCAGAAAATTCCAGGTAAGAATTCAATTTATTTTAATTAGCGTATTTTCCGGCTTACAAGACGCACGCGGCGGCTTGGAAGATGCACCTTAATATTGGAAAGAATCTTCTACGAAAAGAAAGAAGTCATTCTCATATAACAGCACATTCACCTTGAGTTCTTCACATACTGGCGCTAGGTATTGTTTATATTAATCACTCGTCCGATTTTGTTTGTATGGCAATGACATCCTAGTCAAGAGCAAAAAGTCTCCCGCCGCTGCTAGTAAACAGAGCATGTTTTAGCTTGTGGCTGGGCTCCAGGAAGGTTTATAGTCTTGGAAATACTTGTACCAGTTAAGTACTGGGGTTCCATCATATAAAAGGCTGAATTAGGTAGCTAACATTATAGTGTAATGACTCAACATACAAATCCACGTCTCTATCAGTCAAGCAAATTAGGTGACCGTCCAAGCTTACTTTTGCCTGAGCGTTGCCTTACATTTGTCTTAAAAGGCGTACGCGTATTTTTCAGGGTATTTTTAGGAAAAAAACCCAGAAAATACGGGAAATGCTTTACGTAGTTCTTGTAACATAATTTACAATACGCCAATTCACCTTTCTATAATGCAATTGTCACTTAGCTAAAGTATATCTAACGAAAATCCTTTCGTCAATCTCCTTTGGGGATGGAAAACAATATTTTATATTCAGATTTGATATTCTCTTTGATTCACATCTGCCATTTCAGTCGCTCTAGTTAAGAGGAATCACTTTTCCGACTGTACCAACGTGATTGTTTTGATCATAACAGATGCCTCATTGTGCCTGCTCGTAATAATTATAAACAAGACCTCAATAATACTAAGTCGTCCTTCGCTGATAGAATGAGACACCGGATAGCCTCTAATATATTTGCTTCTCATGACTGCTGTCGGCTCTGTAATAGTGAGTTAAATAAGATTAAATTCTCTATCCCTCCACTTTTCACTCAATTTAAGGTATGTTAACATCCTCTGCTGGTAAAATAGCATGTGTTGTTCGTAGATGCTTTTCTAATTATAATCTTGACTCATTTGGAGTACCTTATTCTGACTTTCTCTTGGAACTGACTCTCGACTCTGTGATAGCCATATAATTCCGTCCATCTTTTCTCCTATAATCTCTAAACTGGAACCCTACTGATCATGCGGCCTTGATAGTATCCTTGCAATAGTCCCAAAGAAATGTACTCTTGCACCGGTTCCAGTTCTCTCTAAACTCTGCAATAAATACTTACTCGCTTCTTGCCTTCATACTTGTTGTAAAATCCTCTTCTGTGGTACCTGCTTTTGAGAACTCTGAAGAACAGTCTGATCTTTCTAACTACTCCTATAGTCCTAGAGGCCCTGAACAACTCTGAATTGGTTGTGCAAAACAAGACAAACAGCATAGATTTCGTTTCTCTAGATCAACTACTGATGTCATAGCGGTTATCGCTGAAAGATTCTGTCAAGCTTTAGATACGAATATTTTACTTCAGATATCACGAAGACGTTTGTCAAATTTTAACATGATGATCTTCCCTAGTAGAATGGTTATGGTATTTCTGGCCGAATGATTGGTTTGATTCAATATTTCTTATCAAATCGCGAAATGAAAACTGTATTTAACGACCACTCTTCGAAAGCTTTTTACGTTAATGCGGGTGTCTTCTAGTGTTCTATACTCGGATCTATTTTTTCTAATTTTCATCGACGACCTTCCTGATGTTATCAGTTATCGACTCGATATCTACTCTGAGGTGCAAAACTTTTTCGACACCTTCGTAAATTAATTACTTTTGTTAATTTTAATCTCAGATCGTGAGTGATTAGCAATATGATTTTTCTCACTACATCTTAACGGCTTTTGAGGGCCAGAAAACAAGTTACTGCATTTTCTTTAATACTAAATGATAGAGCTTCTTAAGCATACGCTTTTTTTATTTTGTAAAAGTGATCTTTATTATTACAGAAAGTACAAAACGTCAAAGTATTTAGTTAGTAATCAGTGTTGCTGCCTTTGGGTCAAATAACTGCTTCAGTCCCGTGTGACATTAACTGGAACAAAGTCCAGATTTTCTTATTCGGCATTTTCCCCGTTCTTCTTGGCAGTAATCCTAAACCTCTTGGAGATTGCATGGTTTTCGAAGGGGAACGTTTCTTTTTTTCCATCACAATGGCTCAATTATATTGAGATCATAACTTTGTGCTAAACATCTTCATCAACAAGAAACCTTTCCGTTGCGCGTAATGCGTGACAAGGAGAATCGTCATGCTGAAAACCATCTCCATCTTCGTAGTCGGGCAGAGGTGTAGACCGTAGTAAACTAATAGTTTTTGCTGTTTAGGTTTCCATCAACATTTACCAATTTTCTTCTATCATCACTTACGATGAAACCCTACACCATTACGTGTCCCTATCAAATATTTTTTCGTCTTTGTGGTGTATCTTGCATTGTTTCTTCCTCTCACTGGTTATCTTTGATATTTTCTTACTTTAGAATGTTTTGCAGTCATCTCTAAAAATTACTTTTTGCCGCTTTCCAGCATCCCATGTTAGATATTTGTTTGACTTTTTCACTCTCCTATTTCGACACTCTTTGGTTAATGATGTTTTTTTTGTTTTTTTTTTTAGCTAGACAACTGTTCACTTTATTTGTTTCGTACGAACTGAAAACCTCACTATTAAAACTGTATTCTCTCCTCATTTGTCTGACTGTTAATTTTGGATTGCCGACCGATAATCTCACAACCTTTCTCTCATCTTTCATGCCTAACCTTTTTGATTTTCCTTAAAATATTTTCAGTCGTAGCAAAAGTCATTTTAATAGTTTGAACACCGTTTCTTTAAATTCCCAGTCATCGGGATATTTCTCGTTAAGTCATCTTCCTTTTCAAATTCACAACCTTCATCTTCATTTAAGCATACATTTTAGCCATGATTTTATTGTAAATAGCAAGCTAACGGTCAACTACAATAACTTGCCAAGACACCTTAGAATCATGTTCATAAGATGGAACAATTACTAATTAAAGACTTTCATATTATCATGACTTCATCATCTCAACAGAGTCCACGGACGCTACTGATAAAAAGCATACTGCTAAGCAGTTTTAACCTTTTGATAAAATAAAGGGTGTATCATCATTTTATATAGTTAGCCAAAGACTTTGCATGAGAGTGTATGCTGATGACATAACTATTTACACCTATCTTAATAGTAAATTTGATCGGTTCGATAAGGTCACATTGGCAGATAATCGAACAAATTAACGTCAGTCCGTTGTTAAATGAGGCAAGAAATCACTTATTAATTTCAATGCGTCCAAGATTAAAATGTTCTCTTTAAATTGTCTTTGAAATATTTTTTAATACTTTCTATCAGTATGCCTGATGCTAACTTTCAGGGGAGTGATTTATTTCACCTTCTTGTGCTAACATTTAACACTACCATGAAGTGGAACAATTATATCGAATGAAATGCCAGGTCTGCTGCTTGGAAAATTGGTTCACGGTGTTGTTCTAAACAATTTTTCTCACCAAAATCCCTCTCATACCTTCACATGTCTACCATTTATTCACGGACTAAATATTACTGCCACGTCTGATCGGGGGTTTCTTCTATTTATTTAGAGATTCTTGAAAAATCCAATGAAGAATCTTCACTTTTATCGGTCATGACACGGTATCTCGGCTTCAGTTACTTTTTCACACTTTTCTGTATATATTTTCAGCATCTCAGCAATGTTTTGAATAGATGTCACGTATATCTTGCTGGTTTTCATTGCTTAATGTCTGAAAAATCCTAGATGCCCTATTGCTGTATAGAAAAGCAAAGAGCTTTTGCCTACTTGAATCGTAAGTACAGTTTACTGTGTGTTACCATGAACGTTTTGTCTCAAACCCTCGACGACTTCGACCAAGACATCTAGATGATCGTCTTCAAAATAAGAATTGCTAGGACATTACATCACACTAGTAGTGAGAATAATTAACAATGTCACATATAGTCAATAAAGTTGGTAATGTAATAATATTTAACGGGAGGTTGTACTGGGATATCGGTTATTGGCGCGAAAATTAGAATTATCGAACCGATTTAGAGTTCCACTCGAAGTTGTTTATGTGCACTAATGCCATTTGAAAAGGCATAAATCCGTTTCAACCGTTTCAAATATGAGTAGCAGAGAAAATTGAACTCTATAGCCTTGATTGGTTGCCAGTGTAGAAATTTGACAACTGATTCTAAACTAGTAGGGGAACACATAAATAAGATCGGTAGGCAATTACATTTTCAGTCCAGTCTTACAGCTAAAAAGCTGCCGGCTGTAGCCGATCATTGTAACGTTGTAAATAAAAAATTCTATGGTCTAGAGTGTATGATCGTCTGTAAGGCAAAGGTCGTTCCCCTTTAAAAACATCCACGCACGGGTTGTTGTCCAAATCACTCTTGCACAGCAAAAGCCATTACCGGAACGTTAATGATTATGTAGGATTATAGCTCATCAAAGTTTGTGATGCACAAGCCACACACTAATAGTTAATGCTTTTTTCATGTGCCATGTCCATTAAGAACATAGGCCAACATTCCCTGTTTTTAGTTGCTTGAAGTAAAAATTGATCTTTTACTACTTCTTTTTGTCTTCTGTCATAATTCTCGACAAACCCATTAAATGAGTTATTCTATGCTTTTTCACTCTACTTCCCTTACCTTCACTATGTCAGGTGAGTGTTTAATTTTCTAGACCCTTTTTACTCATTAGGTGCTGAAAAACTTTCGACTGTATTTTTCATTTTGAGTACAAGTGTCCTTTTATTTCCCATTTTCTTTTAAGTGTCCTTTTATTTTCCTTTTTCTTTTAAGTGTCCCTTTATTTCCTATATTCTTTGTAGTTTCTAATTTCCCGAAGAGTTCCACGTTGCTCTTAAGTTCTGTCCATGGTATTAGTATTAATCGGTAGAACCACATCTATGCTGCTTCAAGTCTCTTCTGCATCTGTATATATTAGTGGTGTATGTATATTTTTTATCCTACACATACCTATACATACATACATACACAAACACACACAAAATAAGGTAATCGAAGTCTTAAAAATAATAATATGATTTTAAAATATCATATGATGTTTTCACCAATCTTTATAAATGTATTTCGAACAGTTCGGAAAAGCCTCGAGGAATTCTATGTTCGATTCTCCTAGTAAAAAAAGCTGTTAAATCATGAATTCCATTCCAGGCAATTCCAGGTGCTAACTGATATATGTCCTTTTAGTTCCCATTTTCGTTGTAGTTTCTAATTTCTCGAAGAGTTTCACGTTGCTCTTAAGTTCTGTTCATGTTATTCTTAGCATTCATCGGTAGAACCACATCTATGTCGGATCAAGTCTCATCTGTGAGGAAATTGTCTCAGACATATAAGAGATGAAATATTACATAGAAGTTTATCATTCTTTTCTTTGTTTCTAATGATATTTTCACATGACTTTTGCACATTGCTTAGATTCTAAAAGCTAACTTTTGCTATTACCATACGCATCCAGTATTCGGAATATAAAAAAAATAATTTTTCTTCGATTCCTAATCAAACAAAAAGCTCCCAAAGATAACTGAAGTGAAAATCTCGTCTTCAAAATCTTGTGGTACAAGGCACTAGATGCCATGTTTCTATTACCTTCGTTATATACGAAGCAGAACAATATAATGCGTCTTGTATTTGAAATATACGCTCAATTCCGCGATGCTGGATTATTTGGCAATGTCATTGATACTCTACCTGGCAGTGTGTTGTCAAGGAAAAAACCCAAGAGTCCTGCAAACAGCATACTTGTTCCAAACAGCGCGGTAAGGATCTGGTCAAATTCGGAACTTCCTAAAATAAATAAATACGGTAATTACACAATACGTTAAGTATACAAATTATTTTCAGTCATTTTTGCATTGATGATGATATGAACAAACATCGAAATATTGATTTTTGCATTGATGATGATATGAACAAACATCGAAATATTGATTTTTGCATTGATGATGATATGAACAAACATCGAAATATTGATTTTTGCATTGATGATGATATGAACAAACATCGAAATATTGATTTTTGCATTGATGATGATATGAACAAACATCGAAAATATTAATGATTAACAAGTGCGTTTTAGGAATAATTTTCCTTTATCAAAATATTTTAAAAATAATCGGAAAAATTCACCGCTTCATTTTTTAAGTGAAATGAGCTCGATTCATACTGAGGGCATATTACTGTCGTCTTAGTAAATATGAATTTACTTATTACGCCTATTTTCCTCTCTTTTATATCTCTACAAAACTTTAAATAACCTACCATTTTTCTTTGTCCCTTTTGTTGCCATCTATTCGTATAAACTAGTTAGGTATGTCACTCTCTGTTCTACCTGCTTTTCCTCCATTCAATATTTAATGGTGACTGTTAAATTTTATAGATACTCTTTCGTCATTATGTGTCGAAGAAATATTAACTGTATCCGACTGTAAATATCAGTTTACTTTTTATCACTATTTTCTTATCTTTTATGGCTCTAAATAACTTCTGACATTTTATTATGTCTCTGTGTTTTGTCATAAACTGGTTAGTAAGGTTATTCTCTGTTTCTCTTACTTCCCCACTCTTCAATAGATCCGGTGAGTGTTTAACTTGTTAGATATATCTTTTTCTCCATTTAATATGTCCGCTGAGTTAAATTTCCTAGATACACTTATGTGTCGAAGTTAGTAACATCCAGATTTTTCCCGTTGGAGCAAAACAGCTTGTCATGTCCAGATATCGTCCTCTCTGAAACTTGTACAGATCCAGATCTTTGTCAACTGTCTCATGTCAATAAATGCGAGTAACACTTTTTGAAGGGCCGAATACAGAGACCTATCTTGTGAAGACGTTTCTTTGGTGCATTTTGTTCTGAAGTTGTGTAGCGCCCGACGTGTTGTGGTTCATGAGGCTGTGGTCTCACTAGTCATTACTCAGTCTCATTTTGTTTCCTCCTGTCTCTTTCTGCCTGTTTCCCCGTAATTTTTAAGAGAACATTCTGTTAAGTGTTTATCCCGGTCTTAACAGATACTTGATTTATTTTACAAGCTATTTTGTCACTCATAACGGAGGCAAGTTCGATAATGGCAGCTGAAACGTGGTCGATGTCTTCGTGTTGCATGATGGACCACTTGCCGAAATCGGCGCCATAATGGCATTGGGTGGCATCAATATCACCATGCCTAGAGCTACGCGGTTCTACAGCAAAGAAACACTGACATTTGCGGAAAAGACAACCAAGCGCTTAGTGCCATTAATAGCCGTCGTGCGACACAGCAAACGTAAAGGGCCCCAGTGATGGACTATTGCGAGCTCATCAAACGCGTTGATGTGTTCACTACAGATGCGGATGTTTTTTTTGTAGCCAAGCTGCGTGAGTGTCACTAACAAGGGCCAGATGTGACCATACTTAAGCCCCGGAAAACGTATTTTCAAGTACACGTCCATCAGTCTCTGTAGCCCTATCGAACCGTGATGATGTCAGGGGAAACGGTTATGCTTAACGCGGTTGGGATTCGGCCTCAAAGTGTCATGAAGTCCATTATTGACCAGGTCACTGGAGGAGTCAGTTGGGAAAGCGACATCAGCGTACATTTACAATATGTACACATCATGATTGCAGAACATGTCAGGGCTAAATTATCAAAATACGGGCTGATGTACAACCAGAACGTTTGAATGATGGGGATCGCGTGCTCGAACTGAAAGTTTGTGAGTGGGGAGTTTCACACTCTGTGATAGACACGGAGAAGCGCGATCGCAGATGTCCCTGATGACATGATTCGGCGGATTGTCTTCTCACTGTGCGAGAAGCTCATGGAACAAATAGAATGCGTGCATCGACCGGGTTCATAAAGTGTGGAAGCGCAGTAACAAAGGGATGGTAGGACCAAGTTGGTGGTGAAGCAAACGTTGACAGAGGTCGACAGGAAGATCCTCCCTGGACTGACTAGTTTATGAACGGATCTGAACTCAACGTATAGGTCGATGCAAGATCGCTAACGTGCTGCTGCGAAAAAAATGTAGCAACGTTGGAGGAGACATGCTGGCTCCGGTCAACAAACGACGCCGAAATTATCAACCTTGAAGAACTGGATGCTGCAAACATAGGGCTCACTTTGGCCCTCCGGTAGTAGGCAAATAGTTTGCACATAAAAACTTCCTTGTGTGTGTACCACTGGCTGTTTGACAACCTCACATGAAAAGCTACGGTACGTACTAAAAAACAGCCAGCGAGATAATGGTGCGACGGCGGTTGAGTATAATGTAAGTAATTTGTCGACGTGTTGCTGGTAGCGTCAAACCAAAACTTGGCAGTCAAGATGGTCCGCCTACACCGAAGGTGGCTTTATACGGCCAAAAATGAGGCTAAACTTGTACAGCGGGTGTGTGCTGCTTTACTGGACTCAATGAGTTCCAGTCAGATAATGGAAGTACATCGACGCAGTGGACATGCAGGAGTGCGGCATACCACATATCTTGTGATGAAGGTTTGTCCTTCCTTGTCTAAAGGCTATGTTAATGTCGGCCATTTGAGACATTTGTTGAGAGCACAACAAGAGGTCCTGCGTCAGTCCATTGTAGTTTGAGAGTGAACGGTACTTGGCACCGGCTGAAAATGAACATCACGCAATACCGTGGCAGCCATTACATGACACTAAAAGATTGTGGTCCATCATGTTTTTCTATGTGGCAGCTGTTACACTGCCAAGGCTCATTGAGTAATATATATCAGCTGGAGTCGGTGTTCTGTGAGAGAGGATCACCTTGTGAGCTACTCACAGGCAGTGAAACTGCCTTCTACAGTAGGGATATCTGGCCTTTACTAAAGGATGGGGCTTGTATGTGCGATTAAGATCCGCGCAGGAAATGGAATAACGGAGAAGTGATTGCAACCAGGATTAAATGTATTGTCGAAGAGGCCACCTACTGGTACAATGTCACCTCCGAATATAACACCTCACCACTGAATGCGCTCGCAAAACAACTCTACTTTCGTCGTAAAGGGATTGATTCAGTGTCTCTAGTGACATCTGAGGTGGATCACAATTCATTACTCAGTTTGATTTTGTTTACTTCTCCTGCCACTTTCGCTTCTCTGAGTGTCCCCCTTAAATGTTAAGAAAACAATCTGCTCATTGCTTCCTCCAAACTCAAAACGCCCATACATTTTTTACACAATCCTTTCTAAAATTCTCTAGATATTCATTTACACTATTTATAGTCGATTTTATTGTTAACGTTTCTATAGTTGGTTTATATTGAGCTGGGTGATCTATACTGCTTCTTTCAAAAAATGGTAATATCAACATATCTCTTTGATTTCCATATAAACCATCCTCATTTGATTGGGGAATGAAAAGAAATTACAATTCAAATGGGTTTAACATTTATTCAAGTTCCCCGACTTACCGGTATTTATCATTCCAGGATTCTTTTGTATCCACATTGGTAAAGCCAAGCCGAGAAAGAGAGAAGTTCCAATTACGAAGAGATTTCGGGAAGAATCTAAAACTACATTCCTGAGGTTGGAAATTCCAATAGCAGCAACCATTCCTATCACAAAAATGAAAAAAAGATAAATTCTTTGATTTCAAGGTTTTAAATATGTTTGAATTTCGTACAGTCACAAAGTTCTTTATAAGATATAACATTATAAAATTAGAGAAGATGGTCAGCTATTTAATTTCAGTTACTTTTATTTTTATATCGTATATATATTACTTTCTCGACTCTCCCGACGAATTCGACGTATGCGGGTCAAGCAGATCAGTTCCTAGGAAACCGACAGCTCGACAACAGCACATGAGATTTGATTATAGTGGTGAAGGACCATCCACACATTTTGAAGGGCCGAATACAGAGACCTGGTGCACTACGTGCCACAAGGCCCCCAAACGACCCTCCGCAGGTTTTGAATTCAGAGTTGTCCTGAATATATATATATATATATATATATATATATATATATATATATAGAGAGAGAGAGAGAGAGAGAGAGAGAGACAAAGAGAGATAGATAGATAGATATAGTTTGAAGATTTTTACTTTTGCTTATGATAAATTACTTTCCTAATATCACTCTTGTTTTCTGTAACATGAAAGTCCGACAAAGCGTCATCGTTGTTCTTACTTTTACTTTCCGTAATACGGTGATGTGATCACACTCGTTGTCAGCGATGTTTATTCTTTTGTTCTTTAATCGCTTGACTAAGTGTCAGTATTTTAAATCAGTAATGAATTGATGGCGTTCGTTTTGGCTATCAGTAATTTGTATTTAAATTAAAAGCAACATACTATCTGAAACACTTTAAAGGGTAAATGTAGGCGTTATTAAAAACAGGGGATTTATGAAAATGAAATAAAAAATATCGATAAAACAGTGAAATCGTTCTGTTGTTCATCCCTGAGATTATCTTCGCCCCAAGGTGCTTTCATGCAATTGTATGTTAAAATTAAGTGTTACTTACCAAACATAACGAAAAACATTCCTCCAATCACAGGTTGAGGAATCGTGACAAAGAGAGCGCCTAATTTACCCAAGCAGCCATGAACTATCATTACGAAAGCACCAACTTGGATCACTCTTCGGCTTGCAGTCTGGTCGCGTGCATATGAAAAATATTTAAAAGAACAACATTTTGTAAAATTTTGTTGATGACATAATTGTAAAAAAATGTGATTAAAGACAATTCATTTGCCTTAAAGATGATTAAATTTCCCACATACCTTGGTGATTCCGATGGCGCCGATGTTTTGGCTGTAAGACGAAAAACCACTCGAGGCTCCCCAAGCACCACCCAATAAACAAGTAATTCCTTCCATTCCAATTCCTGTACAATCAAAAATCAATGTCATTTGAGTGGATTTGAATAAGAATAATTATTTGTGTTGAGCTAATTGTGCGTGTTATGAAGTTTTATAAGCTTTGTAAAATCAATACTCGATATTTGGCTTTTATCTGCACCGGAACATAGACCATTGGAATAGATGAGAAATATGTAGCTACTTCAACCATCAAATTAGGATAATTCCGATTTTTAAGTGAAATTTCTTAAAGTTTTGTAAGAGGAAGAGCTAAGAGAGTATAAATCTTGGTGGTATCTGTTGATATTAAATTTTCAAATTGCTCATCGGAAATTCGCAAAAGTCAAATTCCCTCAGTTGTCTTGCATCGCTTGCTAACCTGATCAAGATTGTGTTCCTGACAGGTATCTCTAGCAAGAGAAAGGAATTGATGCATAAAATAGTCCATTCTGTTAATTCCTTATTTCTTTTATTTATCTATTTTATTTTATTTTTTGTGATGTATCAGCCAGCGGCAACTAATGAGAGGGAGATCTTAGCTAATATCAAGCTGAAAGTTGAGCCCATTGAATCATCTTTATTTATTGGATGCTGAGATCATGCTCCGCATCAAGAAAAGACGCTCAAGAACGTAAGAAGATCATGATATATTAGAGATAGTATTAAGGCTTTGATTTATACCATATGTATGCTCTTGTTTTTTGTTTTTATTATTATGAAACCCGAGTAACATGTCAAAAACATATTAAGAATATAGAAAGGCTATCAACGCTCCTTACATGCAAATCTTAGAATTTATTGAATATGAAAGACTCCGGATAGGGACGTCTTGGAGTTAGCTGGCAGGCCCGGCATAGAAACAGAAATCTATAAGCACAGACTAAGTTGAATGAGTGATTTTATCAAAGAGGATAACAAACGCTTTCCGAAACTACTGCTATATACACTAAGACCTCCAACTGACTGCTCTCGGACAATTTCAAAAAATTTATCCTGTCCTGTATGTAGAAATAGATCCGGATTAGCAAGATACGTGAAATCTCATAATATCAATGTACAATCCAATACACATTCAAAACATAAGTTTAAAAATGTATAAATCCTCTGTATAGCTTACAAGTCGTTGGAGATCTCATGTTTTAAACATCCCTTTTTTTCAATTCATTCTATTTTTTTTATAATTAAACTTAATAATTCAAATTTATTTTTAATGCTGGAGCAGAAGAATTGAAATTGTAGATATTAATTCGATTTGCATATAATTTTAATTAATTAAATATTTTTTATGACGTACATGCAAAGATTTGTGTAAAATTAATATGGGAAATTGAATAATAAATTTTGAATGCAGTAGTTCTCTTAAGTTATATTAATGTGTCAGAAATACTTATACTCGATTTATGAGTCGATATCGGGCATATATATATATATATATATATATATATATATATATATATGTGTGTGTGTGTGTGTGTGTATGTGTTGTTGTGTGCGTGCGTGCGTGCTTATGTGTATTATAAATGTGTATATATGATCGTGACAGAGCTATAAATTATTGACTATTGGAAAATAAAAAAGTAATATATATTTTTTCGAAACATACTTTCATGAACGTTTTTCCACTTGTCAATCATATATATATATATATATATATATATATATATATATATATATATATATATATATATATATATATGTATGTGTGTGTGTAATTCATTGAGTCTAGAAGAATCCTCAACAGAATGCAGAAAACACTGGACGGCCTTTTTTCGTTCTACTTTGGGACTCATCAGGATCCATTACCGAGAATCATATATGTATATATATATATGAAATCGAGAAGATATGGAATTTCGGGAAAATCATTATGAGGGAATTTGCGTTCCTTAAATGTGTAAATAGAAACTTCCTGTACTGTGTCGAACGGTCTAAAGCGGCAATTTCTCCTACAATGGGGTACGCGTGTTTGAACTCTACTGGAGTGTATTTTTTTATGTTTACTCAGGTGCGCAGGCCGTAGATGTAATATACACTGCTTAAAATGAAAAACGAGCTATCTCTTTCAACACTCGTGACCACTAAAATAGCTTTTGAAGAAATATCTATCTATCTATATATATATATATATATATATATATATATATATATATATATATATATATATATAACGATCTTTGTATATATGTGTTCAGTTTTGCCCTATGCAACATGAAGCAGTGTAACAATCAATACTTACGCCTTTAATTTGGAAGTTAGAAAAAATGAATGGGAGATTATGGAGCTTATAGAGAACGACATATATAACCACTAAATTGACTAATGTTAATATCCAATAGATTACAGGTAATAAACGAAACAGGTGTCTCCCAGGGGTCATTACTCAGACTAACCCCTTTTTTTTTATTTACAAATATGATCTGCCTAAGAATATATTCAGATCATTTGTAAACATCTATGCCGATGATACGACTATATACGTGTGCACCTCTAAAACTCTTCCGATCTAGCACTAACTTCCCAGCGGGGGGAAAAAACTGGCAGGTTGCATTCAATGCCTCGAAAACCAAATTAATTACATTCCATTATCACCGGTCGAACCCCAAACTATCGCTAGTCCCGATGAACGAATGTCCCCTTCGAGAGAACTGTGCATTGACAGACTATTGGGCCTTAAACTCAAACCTGATCTCAAGTGGGACTCGTACCATTGCTAAAGATAAATGGTCTGCTCCCTGTACCGCTTCGGTAAATACCTGACTCATGCTATCCTCTACCTTTACAAGAACCAGATCAAGCCATAAATAGATCACTGTTGCCATATTTGCATGGGAGCTGCCCAAATCGCATTATCCGGTATCGATAGAGTCCAGAAGCGTCTCCAAGTCCTTGTGGGTGACAAACTATTTTCCACCCCCATCCAACCTCACCTCTCATATGCGGGATGTGGCAAACCTTTTGCTGCTTATTCGCTACTTATACGGAAAGTGTTCGGACGAACTACATTAATTGGTTCCGCCACAACAAGGATCCGGCATGTCACTTACATTTTAGTAAACCACCCACATTCCATCCGAATTTCATCGGTGAGAAGTAAGATCCACGCGAATATCTTCTTCTCATGAACCGACTCCCAAGAAGACTCCGCGATTACTACAATCTTAACCTGTTCTAGCCTAGGGTTAACCGTTATCTTCTCCTATCCGTACAAAATGCCTCCTAATGTAACTTTCTACCCCGAGTGGCCCCCAGGCCTTGTACAGTGGGAACCTTATTGTAAAAAATACTTTTTATTACAGTCGAGAGATAAAAATATTTACTGAATTTTAAGGTATTACCATAGATTTTCTTTTTTATCGATTTGTATAAATCGTTTAACATTTATCTTAACACCATTTTATATCTTGATCTCATGAACTTTTGATAGGATTTCATAACGGTCACTATTTTTCTTCATACAAACGCATTTAGACGTGAAGTTAGTAAAATATGCAACGAGTATTTTCAGAAAGAAAAAAAAAGATCAAAAAGATGTTTCATGGAAAATGTCTTTATCGTAGTTGCTGTTATTGCTAATTGTGGATGTTTATTGTACCATTTTAAAAATAGTTGAGTTTATGGTCTTGTGAAAATTATATGTTTGTTAATCATACCTCTTCCGATAGCATGAACCGGTGGGGGTGGTGCACCAGTCATCCATGCGCATGCGTAGTAATCTCCAACTGATTTAATAATAGAAGCGAACACACCTGCGAAAATGCCCAGTACGCCTGCTGTACTGACGCTTGGAACTCCCCACTGACCTGATAGTACAAATAATGAATGTAAACAAATGACATTAATTATTATTTGTAGAGGTTTATAGAATAGTAATATACAAATCTATCACACACATTACACACACACATACACGCACAGGCACATATATATACACACAGATTCATATACATATTTATACACACATTTATAAGTATACACATATATATATATATTTTAATACACATTTGTATATATACACATTCATATACATATTTATACACATATAAATAAGTATACACAAACACACACAAACACACACACATATATATATATATGAAGAAATATAATCTTAAGATGTGGTATATTTATGGAATATCAGAGATAGAGCTTGTGTAAATATAAAAGTAAACATAGCAGTCGTCTCTTAGAGGCGACAGTCTGTTTCATGCTATATGCAATCGTCCTGCCACACGCACACACACACACACACACGCATACACACACACACACATACATATATATATATATATATATATATATATATATGAATACACATTTGTATATACAGTAGCGTCCAAAAAAGTTTTTGGTGTTTCGCCATGGTGCCGGCTGATGCAACGTTTACAAATGACTAAGTAAGAGTTATTCTTTAGAGGAAATCAAAATATTTGAATATAGCATACTGTTTACATTGTTTTTCTCAATTTTGTCCCTTACTTTTGCACGATCCTATTTTGAAAATAAATAAATAATTGTTATAATTCTTTTTCTATCCTTTGCAAATGATTCAAATTTTAGTATGTTATTATGGATGATAACGACTACCAGTTGTCAAAATTTCAGCTTTTCACAGTTGTTATTTCTAACAAATATTAGGTTTTAAAATTCTGTCCCTTAATTTTGGACGCTACTGTATACACACACACACACACACGCATATACACATCTGAAGGCGTAATTCTAACTAAGACTTTATAATATAATTAACCACTGTCAAACATGTTTTCAGATTTCCTCAGAAGAATATTTGTCAATTTAAAATATTCAGTCATGCGGCTGAAAATTTTTTGGCTCCACTCACTTTCGAATATCATTATTTCAGTGATCTAACATAAGCATTATAGTCGGGCTGATAAGTTTTCAACAGCCACATTAGGGAACATTGGATGCTGGTTTTATTTTTAGAATAGGTTCACATTAATTGGTGTTCACCCACTGAGAATTGAATAGCATTGTTGTAATAACCCTAAAGTAGGTGGTTTTTATGTTATTTTCATTTTTTTATAGTAAACTCAATTTAGTTTCGTCTTATCTAGAATCACAATACCAAGTTCACTCGATAGAAAGTTCAATAGTCACTCAAGATAAAAGATGACAGTAAATAAAAATGCTTGTGTTCAATGAGGTGCGTGATACGAACAGAAGTTAACGTGGCAAGACATGCAGAATAGGAGGTTTAGAAGGAAAGGAAACATTTACCTCTTGATTTGATGTGGTCAAGATTGAAACAAACATTCAGGAATCTCTTCCAAACAAGAGTAATTTTTGAGAAAAGGCAGAAGAAATGTTGGTGATTCACTTTCGCGTAGGCAGCAAAGTGAGTTCTAGCTGAGATGATACTAATCTTTAGGACTACAGAATGAAGCTCATCTCGGAATTTGCGATGGGAGCAGCGATAGGCTTGCAACTTTGCATCTGTGTGGAGCCATATTAACTGAAGATCCAGGGAGGATCTACTTCGTAACACTATCAATGTTTTGAAAAACCCGCTTTGCAGATGACCGTTTGTTATTTTCATTTTTTTAAAATTTATTTTAGACTCAGTTTAGATTTATCCGATCTAGAATCACAATACTAAATTTGTAGTGAGGATTAAACATTACAGGAGCGAATGACTTGCCATATTAATCAGTTTTCTACAGCAAGCGCCTCTCTGACGAAGCAAGAAAGCGAGAGAAAGAAGCAGGAAAGAAATTAAAAACAACCCCCAAAACTCGTGAATATCCTGAATGTTGATACAGGATTCAATTTTTATTTCTCTCAATTAAAATATAAAGGCATACCTGGATATGGAAAACGAAACCATGCTGATTTATAAAGTACATCAGTGTAAAGATCAGTTCGGGCCGCGTAGCCCCATTTGCCTTTCTCTTTGGGGAAAACGTCTGTAATGGTGAGAATGTAATAGAGTAGCCAGGATATGCAAATAGCGAATAATATCTGAAAACAAGAAAACAGAAATTTCTTAAGGATTTTGAAATAAGATTAAATTAAATAAATACGTTTGGCAGACCATGTACCGCGGATATGGAAGACAACTGTTAGGTTATCTGTCTTTCAGTCAGTGCATTAGAGGTCCGGTGCGAAACAGACACGAAGAATTTTTAAAAGGGACCAAAGCTTCCTGCTATATTAACCATTACAAATACATACAAGGAATTCTTTTGGCGCTACAGCATTTAATTAGAGGAAATGATAGAAGTCCGGGGTAACCAATGAGGTTCATTACATTGGAGATGAGTTTATAAGATGGCTATATTATCTATCATTGTTATGCTTGCCTAAGAGACTAGGAAAATTGATGAGTAAAAAGCATTCTTATCGTACCATATACTACACCAAGTAGTTTTGTCAATTTATTTTTCATTACACTGGAGAGTCGCGTGTGAAAACAGAGTAATATCAAGAACTTTAGAAAATGTGCCATTAGTTTTAAAGGCCTGGTTAAATTAGTATATGTTTATTAAAATTAGCTCAGTCAGGTAAAGGGGTCTATCAGTGGGGTAGTCAGTGCAGACAGAACTAAACAGAACTAGTATATTACAAAATTAGAGATGAGTTTATAAGACAAGTATATTCGATATCATCAACTTTTGAATCTATAACTCAAAATTGAACAGTCACTTTCAGTACCAAAGAGAAATATGCAACTACCTCAGCCACTAAGTTATCTGTATGAACTTGTCCATCGTTTAAAATTTCGTTTTTACGTTAGCTGAAAAAATGTTTTATTTTTCTTTACCATGATATCCAGCAGTAAAGAAGGAAATTTTGTAAACTTTTCATCGGATAAGTGTGCAATAACAGAGAAAAGTGTTGACCTGACATTTTTTGCTTTATTTTTTTTTTGTTGTCAAAATATGATAGATTGATGATAGATTTCTTCGATTCACCACTGAGTGGATTGCAGTCGGAGGTTATCGTTGTGGCAAATAATGTTTGAGGCATACTCCTTGGATTAAAAAAAATATATATTTTTCGTTCAATATTATTCATTTAAAAGACATTAAAATTAATTCATAACATTAAAAGACAAAGTTTCAATATTCATAATAGTAATAGTATTAGTTGCTTCCTATCCGAAAGTTCAGAGTTAAATTTAATTGTTTTACATATGTATTTATATCTCTGCAAATTATTGCATGCAGGAAATATTAACAAATTCCAGGGGAAAAATAACTTTTCCCTGACTTTAGCTGCTGAATCTGTGGATGAAAGGAGTATGACAAAATGCTGTTCTTAAAGTGAGAACTCTACGCATACATGGAATTAATAACAAAAATTGTTTTGGACACATCAAGGTCTTTTTCTGGCCCTCTCTCTTTAAGTGAAATGGAAAATGCCCTTACTGAGGGATATCCCCTAAAACTGTATATTAGACTGAGATACGCTCTATATACTTATTCATGTTTCCTGAGCAAATAATATATATGCCATGTTCTTTTAGGAGATGAGTGATCATAGTTCTCCCCAACTACTTGTCTATCGCATCCGTAAGGAATGTGTGACTTTTTACCATACTTTGTATTCACTCTTCCATCCATTCGAACAAAGGTGTTAGCTAGCTGATTCACCGTCTCCATCTCCCCCTAATTGCCTTCAGTAAGTCTTGTGAGTGTTAAATTTTTCCAAATACTCTTCGTAGAAGTATCCTTTTATTTCCCATCTTCTTGAAAATCTCGTTATTGCTCTCATTTTGTACTTTCAAACCATTTCATCATTTCATTTTTGAAGCGCGCCGTTTTGTTTCGAAATTATTAGTGAATTGTCGGTCAAGAAAAAGTTAGATGTTTTAAATATGTTTTATCTGTATTAATTATGTTCATTATTAATACATGTTTGGTTAGACAAGCGATCGGTTTTGTTAAGTTATTTCTTGTTTATTTGTTCTTTATTTCGGAACTTTTGGGGTTTTCATTTCAGCTTACATAAGACGTTATTAAAATTCATTTTTGTACTATGTAAATTCCACCTTTTTTTTTTCAAGTACTACGTTTTCACACGTCATGTAGCTTTTGTTTTGAAGTGTCACCTCTTTACGCATCACTTTTTATTATTTTTTTTTTTTTAGAAATTACGTATATTTCTTAAATTTGTTCCACGACTTCATAATATTTTATTGATACTGATTTGCTTTCCATTGTTAATACTAATGCAGGAAGTTCTTTTTATTAATTTTATTTACTTTTGTGTGGGGAGTGACTTGTGATTAAACTTAATTTTTAAATGAATCGGTGCGATAGTGTAGTGTTTGAGTAACCAATGAATGTGTTCTTTCAATTCTTATTATAGGGTTTTCTCCAAATTTACATGGTAACTAAAAGCAAAAGTAAATATTGTTAATAAAAACTCAAATAAATCATATGCATAAGCTTGGTGTTTATATTCGAGAAAATCTCCCAACTGTTTGGTGAGTCACCATATGATTCTCTCATATACTTTCGACATTCGTTATGGCATTCCGTTTGCTATCTCTTTTGCCTTTATCGCTCTCCTACTTCTCAGGACTGTAATATATTAAACAAAATTTCTGATAATATGAAAAGGACTCTCCCTCTCTCTCTCTCTCTCTCTCTCTCTCTCTCTACTCATCTTCGAACATTTCATGTTCGTGATTTTAATACTCATCACGTCAAATGGCTTATGCATTCTAATGTTACTGGTTCAGACTCACAAATTTTCTGTTGTGCACTTTCTCAGTCATAGTGGATTTCCCTACTTATTTCCTTAATAAGTGTGATCATTCTTCTTTACTGGATTTTCTCTTTACCTTCTCTCCTTGGCGACCATCGCAACTATATCCTCTTGAAATTTAGATCACGATGTAGTAAGTATTGATATTTATGTTGAGTCTTCTTTCTATTATCACTGCACTGACTGGGATTCGTTTTCGTGACTTTATTCGAGACATACCTTGGATTAATATACTTAACCAACCTATTAATAACTGTGCCACAGAAGTTTCTCCTTAAAGTTGACATTAATGAACTTGTACCTTCTCGTAAATACCAGATGAATCTTCTTGGTTCACACTGGCCGATTCAGCTACTAAAGCCCTACTAATTACGTTTACAGGGTGTACCAGCGTGATATTTCCAATTACAAAAGGCACTTATTTGTATCTGCTTGAAATAATTATAAACTTGTTGTAAAAGTGGCTGAGTCTTTGTTTACTGGAATAAGGTACCGTATATCCTTTAACAAGTTTGATTATCGTGAGGCGGCTCTGTAATAGTGTGCTAAATAAAAGTATTTTTTCTATTTCTCCTCTATTCACTCAATTTGGGTGTTAATATCTTCTGATAAAGCAGAATGTTTTTCTCGTAAATTCTTTTCAAAATCTACTCTTGACTCATCTGAGTCCCTATTGAGTGATATGCATATCAATCCGTCCATGTTTTCTGCCATCAGCCCTAATCTTTATCCTCAAAATGCTATTGGACTTTATGGTATCTCTGCAATAGTCCTTAAGAAATGTGTTCATGAACTGGCTCCTGTTCTCTCTAAACTCTACAATAAATGCCAGGTTGTTTCTTGATTTTCTGCTTGTTGAAAATTCACTTATGAAGTTCCAATGTTTAAGAATTCAGACGAACCGACAGATCCTTATAACTATTGGCCTATTCTTCCACTATCTCTTTTGGGAAAGTATTAAATGTTCTAATTAACTTTGAATTAGTTAAGTATCTCATCTCATAGGATCTTCTTTCAGACAGGCAACAGGTTTTCCACTTCTCTGGGTCAACGGCTTATGTAGTAACGATTATTGTTGAGCCTGTCAAGCTTTAGATAAGAATGGCGAAGCTCGGACTGTTGCTTTGAATATATCAAAAGTATTTGACAAGATCTTCTTCACAAGTTGAAAGGTTATGGTATTTTGGACGATTTCTTTTTATATGGTTAAGTTTTTCTTTTTCAAATCTCGAAATGAAAGTTGTGAATGGTCACCCGCCTATATTCTTTTGCATTAATACAAGTGTTAACCAGGGCTCTGTTCTAATTTCCATCAATGATTTTCTTGATATAATCTGTTCTCAACTCATTATCTATACTGATGTCACAACTATTTATTCCTGTCTTAATAAGTCTCAATAAATTTAAATTGACAGCTGACCTAAAAACAATAATATACGATCTGTTGTTAACTGAGGCAATTTTAATTTTAACGCCTATAAAACGAAATTGTTCTCTTTTAATTATCTTTTTACTTTCTATCAACATGGCTGATGTTAATCTCCAGTAGTGTGACTCATTAAGCCTTTTCGGGCTAACGTTTTCCGCTGACATGAAGTGAAAAGCTAATATTGAATTTAGGAAAGCATGTTCAGTGTATCCTAATAGACAATTTTTATGACTAGAATTTATCTCCTATATTTATAAGTCTATAATTCTTTCTTGCTTTTGTTTATTGCTGCCACATTTGTTCTTGTGCTCCTGCTATATATTTAGAGATTCTTTATAAGAAACAAAGAAGAATATGCAGATGTTATTAGGCCAAACCCGCAATCTCGGTTTCAGTCACTTTCTCGTCACCATAACGTAGCTTCGGCGTGATTTTCTATAAATACTTCCATGGCAGTTGTTCTGATAAATTTTATCAATAATACCTAGACTTTATGGTTTTAAGCGCAGTACTAGATTGGCGATAAGGTCTCATCAATTTACAGTTGAAATGGCTAGATGTAAGAGTAAGGTCTATGCTAACAGTTGCTTCTATCGTACTTCTCACTTATGGAAGTTTTTCCGGTTTCTTGCTTCCCAATCAACTTTGATCTTCAAAGTTTAAATTTAATGCCAATCGTTATTTTTTATCTTCTTCATTCTTGTTCTTTTATTGTTCTCTCTCCTTTATATATTTTCCCTCGTATTCTATAACGCTCAGAAACCCCTGATGTCTTAGTGTCTTTACTGCCTTGCTTGGGGTGAAATGAATAAAAATATGGTAAATAAATGAAATGGAAAGTCATCTAGCTGTGAAAGAGTCGAATAAAACAATAGAAACTGGAAAATATATTTCAACATTCACATGTGAAAACCTATTAAGTGTCAAAACTTAACAAAATATCAATTTCATGTATGTCAACTTAAGGTACAAACTAGTACTTTAATAAATAAATAAAACTAATCCACATTTAATCAAATTTGTCATTAAATCAACTTTTGTTTTAAAGAACTGCCGGTTTGACATGCATAAAACTGACCAGATCGATGCACCCACTTCAATAAATTTCTCATCACCCTTGAGAAACGGGATATAACTTATAGCTTTTTGTTTTTTTAGGTATTTTTGTTTTTTGCATTGGTCCAGGTGAGACCATATTTGTAGAGGTCAATTCAAGCCAACTGGAAAGGTCTCAATTGGGTAAAATTATTTTGACTTGGCGCTGAACCTGACAATTTCTTTTAAATCATCTAAACTCAGTCATCTCAATACGATAAGTTATTATCCCTGGTGATAAGATAAGACGTCTTAGCACACAACCGACTATCAATTAAACTAATATCGAAAATTATTTTAATGCGTCATATTAAATGAAAAATGTTTGAAAAATGTTTTTATTATTTATTTATGAACAAACATCGTTGCTAGCTTATAAAGGTCAACAAATAAAAACAGAAAATAAATTTATAAGTTTAAAGTGAAAATTTCAAACGTTACTTACAGGAAACATTTTAAATAAGGAAAGAGATGTCTTTTTGCATCCACTGCTTTTCTTGTAAATGAAACAGGGTACATCAATATTTTTCATATATTGTGAAAATATGCCGATAAGTGCAGTAGTCCTGTTAAAAAAAGAGAGAAAGGCTGGGTAATGAACGGACAGAATCACCATCAGCGTTTGAGACGCCAACAAGGCGGTGGAGGCATAATGATCTGGGGTGGTATTATTGGAAAAACATTAGTGGACCCGATTTTGAATGAGAGTACCAGATGGCGTCAAAATGACTGCTGATGCATACATAGCGTTTATGAAGGAGCATCTTGAACCGTGGATGAAAAGGCAAAGAGTTGCCTTCAGAAGGGCCATTGTTTTTATGCAAGATAATGCTCCCTCACATGCTGCTCACAAGACTACTGAATATTTGAAACAGTTAGGCTTCGATGGGCCTCAAAAAATGAAGTGGCCAGCAAATTCTTCGTATTTGAACCCAATCGAAAACCTTTGGAGCATCATGAAGCGAAGACTTTACGCCAACAGACGACAATTAAGGAACAACGCTGAGTTGTGGAAAACAATTCTTGACATATCTCGCTGCATTACAGCAGATGACATTCTACAATTAACAAATTCTATGGATCGTCGACTTCTTCAAGTAATTTCAAAATAGGGAAAGTACATTCCCTATTAATTTGTTTAAAACTGTGCCTTTGTTTGTATCTGCTATTATTTGTTTGATTATCTTATTTATTAGCTTCTTTTGATCATAAACATTCACATGCAACATTAATAAACGTTTTGTGTGCTCAATTCTGGGAATTTTACTAAATCTTTCTAATAATTTGGCACGCTCAAATCACCGTACTGATGACAAATATTGTTTATGTTGCGGAGATCGGTACAACAATTTCAGTGATTGCGCAAGTCAGTGTTTCCAACATTGTGTGAAAATTTTGTGTGAATTGATTGGACAGTTTTTGAAATATTAGAAAAAAAGTTATCTAGATAATAATTTGGCACGCAGTATAAACCAAATGAAAATTAAACCAGCAACCTTCTTCGTTATTTGTTATGTTGTTTTTATTTTCGTCAGCGGAAGCGTTCTTTGTCCTTTTGCAAACATGGTTCCGCCGCAGCTCGATTCAGCGCTCAAGAGTGGACGAAATTCGGTCTTCACGGTTTTATGATCAAGGAACACAACGTGGGGCTAGTCACATGGAGGAATGAAACGGCCAGCAGATAACCATCAGTTTCAGTGTGAACCTGACCGTATTATAACTCAGTGATAAAGTTTCGCCTCTTAAAATTAGGAAAGAAAACCTCAAAAATGGTGCTTCTCATAAAAGATTTATTTCGGTTTGTTAAATGCATGTTGGTTAGCCTGAAGTTAGAATGCAAGTGTAGTTTTACTTTTAAAAAAACAAAACATGCTAAAAAAGTATATAAATGTGTTACATAACTTCTCTCCCATCCTGAAAATGAAAAATAGTGGATGCCATAAAAAGTTTCTTTGCTTAGAAGTCCGACACATCATGTTACAAAATTTTACAGCTTCACTTTCTAATATCTATGAAAACACTGTCCCTTTCTTAAAAAAAAGGCTCCACTGGCTGGCATTTAATTGTCATTTAACAAGCCAAGCGCAGTTTATATTAATTAAGGAAGGGGATGGGAAATTATTCCAATATCAATTATGTGCTTTGGGATTTTACCTATTCCTCGAATATTTGCAATGTTAGCAATACCGTTGTTGACTATATTATTTATTAATTATATATATATATATATATATATATATATATATATATATATATATATATATATATATATATATAAATGAACAAATGTTAAAGTTAGATATCAATAATATAAAAATAGTAATGTGCAACTTACAGCAAAAGCAATGTACCATTGTCCGGCAGAATAATCGGCTGCAACTTCAAACAATGCAAATCCAATTAATGTGATTGTAGGCATAATAGTAAGCGGACCAACAAAAGATAAAAACACTTCCATTAACCCACTGAAGCCGATGAAGATCTGGAGCAGGCTGCCGACCATCAGACAACCCTGGAACTGGAGACAAAACAGAAAATGCAATGTAAAAAAAAAAAAAGACAACAGCTTAGATCTCTATATCAAGTAAATATTCACGCATTTACTGATAATGTAGATGATCGTAACACATGTTTACAGGATCACAACCGGGAGAAAAAATATCTATTGCAGGAAAACCTATACTGTCTCAGTTGCTGGCAAATAAGAATGAAGATCACGTGTTAAGAATTAAAAAGAATCATTAAATCACGAAGATTATTTAATTCGCTAAAACCTTCCGACATATACTAAGCTTAGCTTTCAATGTTGTAAAGGCAATATTAGATCATTTTATATTATGGTAGCATTACGAGTTTACTGATGTTTACGTTTCCGGTATAAAGAAGAATGAGATTTTTTTAGATATCCTAACGAGAGATGTGCGTAACTGGTAGCGCGGTTCAATTCCTGCCGGGGGGGGGGCATAAATTTATTTTCAGGGACTTCTTGATTTTGGTCGGCTGTGAATTATTTCACGTTTTAAGAAAAAGAACACAAAAAACAAACAAACAAGCAAGTATAACATGTATCCACTAAAATAATGCTTATTATAAGAACAAATAATGTCATTAAAATGAATCATATATATATATATATATATATATATATATATATATATATATATATATATATATATATATATATATATATATAACGCCGACATTCAAAATGATTTCCATGTATGTATCGACAAGTTAAATGAATGTCTTACGCTCACTGACTGCATTGACAAACTAAACAACATTCTGTACTCCTTTTAAGAATATTTACGATTTATTGAAATTTAATTCACGGATACACTTTAGTGTCAGACTTCTTCGTATGCAAAGATACTAGCTGAAAAGAGGCGATCGATCTTTAAGTGTTTAAACCAATCTTCTCATTTTGTAGCTTGTCCCTCAGCGCGAGATAACATGATAGAATTTCTGACCCGCCAAATTCTTGTAGCCATCAAATTTATATTTAGTAACCATAGATTAGGATGTAGTTTTGAATATATCAGCTTATCGAACCTGATATTGTATCTTTTTTATATTGTTTTATATCGGCAACTAGTTGCCATGTTATATTTATACCTGGGTACTCTTCGTTTATTCATTGTTAAAAAAATATAAAAACAATTTTTTTCATTTATGTTTGTAGTAAAAATAAAGTTATTTACCTCTCGAATGCGAAGTTGCCATATATCACGGTGACCATCACTGCCAGCTTCAGGTAGAGTGCTATTCACAGAAATATCTGGAATGGTTGGGATATAAATATAAACTGTGTTAGATATTTAGTCAGCGTATGCGCTCGGAAGATGGCATGGATGACTGGAAGTTTGTCTTGTGAGTAGACCTTGCCTGCTTCAACTTTAAGGGTTACTTGCAATCCACTTTTTTCTAACTCGGTACCAAATTAACATCAACAGAATATATTTTTAAAAAATCGCATCGCTATTAGAATTTAACGTGTTTTGATTGAGCAAGTATTTACAAACCAAATAGAAACAAATGTTCCTTTGGTTCTTGCACGATATCTATGATTTAACAGTGATAAACTAAAAACTGAAAAATACATATCCTATTAAATTATGAATGCAAGCATTATACAACGCTTTCTAATAACCTCTCCGTACATTTACTAACAAAGAAATCATTTCTGTAGCATCTATGCGGATTAAATTTAATCACTATTCCGGATCGTTATCTCTTTCCATATATCCATGATTTTACGAATTTAAAGATATCTTAATAAAAGACAGTTTGGAAAAATCATTACGTTGATATGTTCCATTGATTAAACGATGTCATCAAAGAATTTTATAAGTTCGCAAGAACAGAATTTAGACTTTTTGAATTTACAGTTTTCAACCACCACTGTAGGGCCTAGTCTCTACTGCTGGGAGATGAGATAGATTCATACCATTCTGAAAAGTATTATCGCGTAAGTGAACGCAATGGACTCGACTGAAATTCGACTTCCTGATTTCTCAGTTCGAGCCGCTATCCATTACTGTCCAGTGCCTTTTATTTGATCTATCTATCTATCTATCTATCTATCTATCTATCTATCTATCTATCTATCTTATTTTGTAATCATCCCAAGCAAGTCGATAATTCCACAAAGACGCAAAGGGCTACTGAGACATTAGAAGGAATCGGAAACACGATCCTAAACACGAAACAAATATTTTTAACTAATCGGAAAATCCGTATCCGTATTCATATCATAAAGCTATTTAAACAAATTGCAAGAGATACTGATATAATTCTTTAGTAAATAAAATATACTGAGCTTCTATCACTATCACTCTTTTAGCAAATGAGATTGCCTAATGCAAATTTGACAATCGATTCTCGCACTGATCAACACATACACAATGACATCTTTATATTGTTGCCTATATTTTACTAAAATGGTGCTGACGTAAAGATGACAGTGTATCCACACCATCGAATTTAACATCTTATATTATTACAGTTATCTGAATCTATTTCCCGTTTAGTTGAAGACTGTAAAATGCATTGTTTTTCCAGAAGGAAATTTAAGCCCTTTTCATACACGCGAAGAAAAGAGAATATAAATTGATTTTTATTTTTTGCATAAGGACATTGCCATTTTTACAATGAAAATATGACACACCATCTAATTTAAGATAATAATTTATTATAGTTATTTCAATCTACTTACCAGACTTTTAATCTATTCCACAAAAGCAAAGTGATAATACCATAAATACATAAGAGGTTAGAATAAACCTCAAACCCAATCCTAAACAGGAAACAATGGATAAATATCTACACCTGTTGAAGAGACCGAGGAGGGGTGTGAGGCAGACTATAGGCAAACCGACTTACTAATATTAAAGAAAGTATGTTGTTTTCATACAGGCGAAGAAAAGAGTACATAAATTAATATACTTACCACCCACATAAGGAGATTGTCAAATTTTCATTGTAAAAATTGGCAGTGTAGCCATATCATCTAATTTGATATCCTGTTTTATG